CAGTAAGGTATAGGCAAGAAGCTGGTATCTGAGCGAGACTTTTACTTGACAACAACTCCATACACTGCTGCTTTAACAGGGAAAAATTCTTAAATATCTCAACACTTAGAAAGCAAAAAGTGATGACCTGAAACTCACCAATTACTCCAACCTGAATGGGTGTGCCACAAGTCTCCTGAAAACCTCCAAGAAGTTTCCAAAGGCCCTCTTTTCCAAAGCAGACTTCACTTCTGAATGGAGCAGCATTCTTCTTTGCCTTCACACGCTAAATTCCAAATAATTAGTTTAATTATTCTGACAACTTACCTGATAAATTATTTCAACACACCCCAAGCAGTCAGGCTCCAGAGCCCAGCTCTTAAAGTAACTACATTGCCTTTCAGATGATCTCTGGCTGAAGTCAGAGTTGGATCTTGTAATTTTTCACTTATTTAAATCAAGATTTTGTATACTCATCATTTTTCAACCACTCAGTCTGAAAGAACCACATTTCTTACTACTAATAAAAGGTACCTTGGTTATCTTCCCTTTATCCTTCTGTTTTGTTGAGGCTCTGAACACTACTGTTGGCAATTCTTTCTTCAAATAATTTAGCCAGCTCTCCAAATTCTCCTTTGGTACCAGATCTGATAGGAAGTAGAAATCAGACATGTGCTCCAATTTGGCTATTTTGTTGAGATGCATTTGCGAAATCTGGGAACTAAAGATTTTACTCTGGTTTACATTTTCGCATCTTTTCAAAAGGATTTAACTAGAAAATCAGGGAGGGTAAGCTCCCCTACCATGTTGCCTCTATCTTTACAGAGCTCAGCATCTACACTTCTCTGTTTCAATTCCCCTTTAATTGCTCACTCTTTCAGGACAGACTCAACATCTGGATTACAACCCTAATAACCCTAGAGCTATGTTTCCAGAATTTACCTTTAGCTAGCAGCCAATTGTTTATCATTTATTATTTTTTGAGATGGAGTCTCGCTCTGTTGCCCAGGCTGGAGTGCAGTGGCGTGATCTCAGCTAACTGCAACCTCCGCCTCCTGGGTTCAAGCAATTTTCCTGCCTCAGCCTCCCCAGTAGCTGGGACTACAGGTGCCTGCCACCATGCCCATCTTATTTCTGTATTTTAGTAGAGATGGGGTTTCACCATGTTGGCCAGGCTTTTCTCGACCTGGCCGCAAGTGATCCACCTGCTTTGGCCTCCCAAGCAGCCAACTGTTCTTAACCCCAACAATAATTTTGGATCTCATTCCCATTTTCTGCTTTGTAATTCTGTTTTGGGTTTTCCTGTTCCTGCTTCTCAAACTCAGATGCATAATTATGCATTTCATTTAAATATTTTGTCACATACATTCCAATTTATCTCACTCCTGAACTACTCGACATTATGTAGGTGTGGGGAATTTGGCATACTGTCATCACTCCCTAGATGAAATATACTACACAATAAGCTGGGTAGAGAAGCATACACTCTTATTTTAAAAGATGGTAAATACTGAATGGCAAAAGAACAGTAGAAACCAGTTGAGTCAGTTGTAACAATCACTTCCTCCCTGCTGCCCAGCACTGTCTCTGGCAAACAAAGTGCACATACTCTGGCTCTGCTGAGGTCAGAGTTGGATCTAATCAGTCTTCAGTGACAATCAGACTGTTCAGATGTTTTCCTCATACCTCACCAATGTACGTGGAAGACAAAGGGTACGCTCTTTACTCACCTGATTTATTTAATATAAGTACGAGCTTTTTCTGTCCACTCTGGACAATGGCCTCTTCTACCTGAGGACATCTGCAACCAAGAGGATCTCTGGCATCCAACACCTCTAGGACAACATCTGAGGCTTCAATCACCTATCAAGGAAAAAATGACTAGAACTACATCCCTTGCTCTGGTAATACCTTCAACAAGAGTGTATTGGCATTATCCATTTGACAACAGGGTGAGCTCAGAGTTGGATCTCATGTCTTCACTTTGGTAAGAAGAATGTTGATCCTCATCATTTCTCACACAGGAAAGTAAAACAGAGGCTTGCTCAGCAGCCTCTGATCAAGATGGATTTCAAAAATGAAAATATCTCTAACTGACCAAATCCTCCCATAGTGAATTATGTAGTTTGATAGGTCCTTTTGGCCTTGCCAATAGCTGTTGAGTGGCAGTCAGGTTCTATCCACAGGGGATTGAGCTTGGGAAAATGGATGTTGGGAATCGGAGTGCTGGAGAGCAACTACAACAAGGAGACACCACCTTCTTGCCTTCTTTCACTTAGGTTTCAATAGAGTACTTTAGAGATCCTTAACCTGACACCTCTTATTCCAATGTACTTTTCTCAATCTCAATACTATGCCAACATTTTTTTTTCAACACAAAGTACCACTTTTGTAAATCATGCTTACGAGCAGAACCGGTTTTGTGCAAATATTTAGAAACTATTTCTGTCAGCTAAACACAGCAGGAAAGGCATTAAACAGGACAAGCTGGAGTGGAGTCATGAAATGATTTGTGGGAGGAGGGAGAGATCAGGAAAGGTAACTAATGGGTACTAGACTTAATACCTGGGTGATGAAGTAATCTGTACAACAAACCCCCATGACACAAGTTTATCCATATAAACCTGGCTGCACACATACCCTTGATCTTAAAAGGTTAAAAAAAAAAATGACTTCAGTCTTTTTAACCTCATTACCACTGTCAGACATTGACCTAGGCTAAGATACCTTTTTAAGTTCTTGACAATACAACTTCTTTGACTTCTGTTTGCCCGACTTGGCTTTGTTCTCAGTCTTGCAAAGCCCCAACTCCTAGAAGATAAAGAGGGGGAGGGACACAAAATTAGAAGTACAGCAGTTGTAACCTGTATCTCCATTTTTCTACAGCTGAGAAGCGGCACTTGCAGTTGTTAAATATGTAAGACAAAGTCTGAACTCAGTTGTCTTCCTCCCAAGAAGTTCAGCAACCTGTGAATGCGCTTTTATTTCTTCATCAGATCTCATCTCTTGGCCAGGTGCAACAGCCCACCCCTGTAATATCAGAAACTTTGGGAAGCAGAGATGTGTGGATAACCTGAGCTCAAGAGTTTGATACTAGACTGGGCAATATGGCGAAAGCCTGTGTCTACTAAAAAAAAATTAGCCAGGTGTGATTGTGTAGTCTCAGGTACTCGGAGACTGAGGTGGTAAGACTGCTTGAGCCTGGGTGGTCAAGGTTGCAGTCAGCTGTTATTGTGCGACTACAGTCAGGCCCAAGCAACAAAAACAAACTCAAAACCCCTCATCTCTCATTCATAAAGACCTAATCAGTATACCTTTTCCATAGGTTCCACATTTGATGGCTTAACATCAGGATTCGTTTCAAGTTGTCTTTTCTTTTCTAGTTCTTTCTGCCTGTCAAGTTTCTGCTGCTGTTGTAGTTCTTCAAGCTGTGTTGGAGTCATAAGAGACATAGGTGAATCAGTGACTAGTGTTGTTACCTTACTCTGAAAAACATCACACATAACACACTACCCCACTCATTGAAAGTTCTGGCTAACATAACTTACCCGCTGTTTCCTTAGCTCAGCTTCCCTAAGAAGAGCCTCCTTAAAGGGAGCACTGTTCGGAACTCCTGGGTCTTTCCTAGGCTTCTTGTGACCCCGCTTTTTAGCCTCCTTCCTTAATTTTCGATGATGTTCTCGAACCTATTATAATAAAGAGATTTTGTCTGCTTACAAAAATATCTTTATACTTAAGCAGAATTCAAGTGAGAAACCAATCTAGCTGGAATTTAGTTATGCCTATAAAATGGCCTAGGAAAATGGGGCTTTAATTGGAATCTTACAGAGTAATGCATACGGAAGTATAAAACGGCAAGAAAATGTCATTAGAAGGCTCTCTATGCAGAAATTAACATGTTGAACAAGTTTACAGATTCATCACCAAATCACTGCACTTTGTCACAGCTACACTTCTGATGCCTAAGAGCTACTATCCAATGCCATTTCCTGAAACCAAATCATGTTAACCCAGACTTTCCCTTTGCAAATGAATAGAGCAAAATCAGTTTAGCAATGTGTTTGGTATAGCTCTCCCAGCCACTATACTTACCTTTTTTTGGATTTTATACCGCTTATGGCAGGTCATGCGTTTACTTGCTTTCTTTAACTCTACAAAAAAAAAAAAAAAATCACATCACAAACGTGTTAATGCAAATGATTAGTTCTGGGTGAACGCACTACGGAGTTATATCTTTTAATGTTATTGGCTGCCAAAGCTAACGTTAAGACTAATGCGAAATGCCTAATACAGACATACATGTCCACTCTCAAATCCCAGAGAATCTGATTCAGTCGATCCAGAATGGAGTCCAAGTTCTCTGCACCTACTCTTACAATATTAGAATGGAATCATATACAGCAGAGTATGAGACCCAAAATGACAACCACTTCGTGTCAAACAGCACGAATCCAGGAGAGGAACAGTGAGTCTGGGAGGCGATTCTCAGCTCTCACCTGGGCCAGTATGCACGTGACCAGGGAAGGGAAAATACTGGGCCTGAAACCTAGCTTAAACGCTGCCTCCTTCCGAAAATCTAGCCTAGTCTTGCCCACCCTCCGCCAGGCTTCCTTCCGCAGAATGAGCCCGCGCGATTAACAGGATCGGCGTAAGGCCTTCCAACATGGTTCTACGAGAAAACAGGGCAAGGCCTACGCTCAGGCTCCGACCTCCATGCCCGCAGAGACCAAGCCGTAGAAGAGTGTCGTGGTGGATGCAGCAACTACCAGACATGGGCCCCTCCAAGCCCGCCTTCCGACCCCACTTACTAGGCCGCTTCATGTTGGTTGTAGAAAGTAACACAACCTGCCTCCGCTGGCGCCACGTGTGAACTGAGACCACCGACAAGCGTCACGTACATACGTTACCGCCGTAAAGTGCGTCACCGCCTCTCTGTGTGCGCGCGCACGCAGTGTCGCGCGGAGCAGGAATCGCTTGGCGGCGGCGGGGCTGGTTTTGCGGCGGCACCGGGAGGGGTAAGGGAGGTGAGGGCGGCGGGTGCCGGAGCGACGGCAGCGGCCGCGGCTGGAAGAGGTATAGCAGCAGCCGTGGCGGCCACGGGGCGGGGCGCGGCGGTCAGTGACCGCGGCCGGGGCTGCAGGCGGCGGAGCGGCTGGGTAAGGCCGGGCCCAGGGCGGGTGGGGCCGCTCCCCCTCGACCAGCTGCCGGGCCTTTGTGTGGGCCCGGGCGGGCGGGAGCCGCGGCGGAGGCCCCGCCCCGGCCGTGTAGAGACGCGCCGGTCGGGCCGGGCGCGCGGGGTTGGGCGGGGCGCGGCGGCGGGCCTCGGGACAGGCCCGGTAGCCCTGTCGCACCTGCCGGCAGGGACAAAGGCGTACTACGGCCCGGAAACTCCTCGCGCCACTCTTTCCCGCTTCTCGCGGGGCGGCTTCAAAGCTGTCAACGTTTCCCTCAGTCCCCAATACCAGTGACAGGTCGGGAAAGTCCTTCATTTCCTTGGTTGCTCAGGGCCTCCTTTTTTGTTATTGTTGTTCCTTGACGGTTCGACACCAACTGTTAGTGATTTCTTTCTTTATTTTTTCTGGGTATTTTGATCAATGGGACTTGTATTTATAGTAGAGGCCAGATATTTCAGCTTCTCATTTCAACACCGCAAAGAATCCGGGATTTTGGGAACTGTGTATTTCTTGGTTTGGGGAAGCACAGTTTTGTTATAATAAGGGAGAAGTTTTAATTTAAAGGGGCAGAAAGAGTTGCAAAAATATAGAAAAAATTCTGAAAAATAAGTACACGGTATAGTGGATATAGAAATTCTTACAATTATAGAAGCGTGTATTGGAGTAAAACATTTTAACTTATTTTCCAACACACTAGGACTCTCGACGAATAATTTCAGGTGTTTTTTTTTCTCCCATTTGGCTGTGTACTTTTCCTCAAAAAGTGCAAATTGGACTCGTGCACGTGAAAGAGTAGGGTAATTTTTGCTTTATTACTTACAGGTTGCCCATATTTAATTTTGAGCTCCAAAATGAAAGATTGGAAAAATATGTTTTGAAGAGGTGTTTCAGATTAAAACAAGAGTTTGTGTGTGGATGAATGGAAGGGGCTTGACCGCTTTCTTTCACTTTGGGAATGTACAAAATACCACAAATGTTAATATCCTACCAAAATTCCCAAGATAAGTAAATTTCGGTGTACCTATATAATAGGTTAGTATCAAGCTGTCAAACATCATTAGGAAGAATGTTGACTTGGAAGAATCTTCATTAAGTTAAAACACAGGCTGTAGAATAATACATTGGTTTATTAACATTTTGGTAAGATAATAACAGGTAACTAAGACGTAGATAAATACCAAAAATTGTGAATGACAACATTAAGAATGGCTTTTTTCTCTGAAGCAGGTTTATAGGTGTTTTTTATTTTTCCTTTGAGTCCTGTTTTCCAAGATTTTGTTTTAAGCATGTATTGTAGTGCTAAATATCACTAGAAATACAGGAAAGGGCTAAAAGTTCATAAACTGTCAAAATACACACCATTTGTCTATACTGTCAGTATTTTCCCAGTTGCATATTATTAAGTATTCTTAACTGTCCACTATCAATTATTGATTGTCAGATTTTTGAGCTTGTAGCTATAATCAAGGCTGTTTTAAAACTTGGAATTAAACTCTGGAATCTGTCTTTCCTCTTCATGGAAAAACAAACACAATTGCTGAAGGAGTACTTACAGCGCTTTTTTTTTTTTTTTTTTTTTTTTTTGAGGCAGGGTCTCACTTTGTTGCTCAGGCTAGAATGCAAGTAAAGTGATCATGGCTCATGGGAGCCTTAATATACTCATAGGCTCAAGCAGTCCTCCCACCATGGCATCCCAGGTAGCTAGGATTACAGATGTGCAGCACCACACCAAGCTAATTTTTATTTTTGTAGAGACAAGGTCAATCTATATTGTCCAATCTGGTCTTGAACTCTGCCGTAGGTGATCTGCTTCAGCCTCCCCAAGTGCTGGGATTACGGGTATGAGCCCCTGTGCCTGACTCGGGCCTTTTAAACTATACAAATAAACTTCTTTTTTTAGAGGTCCCACTTAAGTGCACTTTTTTTTTTTTTTTTTTTTCTTTTCTTTGAGACAGAGTTTTACTCTGTCCCTCAGGCTGGAGTGCAGTGGTGTGATCCTTGCTCACTGCAACCTCTGCCTCCTGGGTTCAAGCAATTCTTGCACCTCAGGCTCTCAAGTATCTGGGATTACGGGCATGCACCACCTCGCCTAGCTAATTTTTTGTATTTTTAGTAGAGACAGGGTCTCATGGTGTTGGTCAGGCTGGTATCGAACTCCTGACCTCAGGCAATCTGCCGGCCTCAGCCTAAATTGCTGGGATTACAGGCGTGAGCCACTGTGCCTGGTCCTAAGCGCACTTTTAACACATTTATTAAAAGATAAATTGAGCACCTAACCTATACTAAATACTATTCAATAAGACAAGGCTATAAAAATGAGTAAGATGCTGTTCCTGTGCCTGGGGAACATGCAGAAGTGATTTCATGGACATCACTTCACTGTTCCAACAATCTGAGAGATAAAGGAACACTTTATGTTCTTTTTATTTGAATCAGGCTCTCGCTCTGTCACCCAGACTGGACTGCAGCGGTGTGATCTCGGCTCACTGCAACCTCCGCCTCCTGGGTTCAATTGATTCTTGTTCCTCAGTATCCTGAGTAGCTGAGTTTACAGGCATATACCACCTCACCCAGCTAATTTTTTTTTTTTTTTAATAGAGAGAGGGTTTCACCATGTTGGCCAGGCTGTTCTTGAACCCCTGACCTCAGGTAATCCATCTGTCTCAGCTTCCCAAAGTGCTGGGATTTACCTAGATAATTTTTTGGTTTTTCCTTTTTTTTTTTTTTTTTTTTGTAGAGATAGGGTTTTACCACATTGGCTAGACTGGTCTCAAACTCTTGGCCTCAAAGTGATACACTGGCCTTGGCCTCCCAAAGTGCTGGGATTACAGGCATGAGCCACCGTGCCTGGCGTTAAGTTCTCATTTTAGAGATGAAGAAACAGACCTGAGAGGCTGTCACTCAGGCAACATCAAGCTGATAATCAGAGGTGGAAGACTTGGGACTCCTATTCTGGTCCTGTGGTTTCTCCTACTTCATAACATTGCCCTCCTTGCCAAACTTCCAAAATACATTTTAAAACGTTCCTTGATTAAAAAAATACTTAAATATTATCCTTAAGTTGAATATTTTTCTTGTTTTTCCAAAGTAAATTAATGGTTCAAGGATTTGGGGATATTGTATCATCTAAACTACATACATGTGGTAATTTATGTTTTTTTGGTCATTTGATTTTCAGTGAATTACTTATAAAAGTAATTTTGAACTCCTGACAAAATGGTTGGCTTTTTTTTTTTTTTTTTTAACCTTGTCAAATTTTTATATGGTATCTCCAATGCAGCTAGGACTTTGGAAATAAATGTTCTTTCTCTGAATTTTTTTTGTGGGGGTGGGTGTTTTCTAGACCTTTTGCTCACATGAGCCATTCTTGGTTTGTTCCAGCTTGCCAACAGTTGGTGTCACATGTGAGCCTCCCACATGTATTCACTCTTCATTCCAGCTCTGTGATTGAACTCTGCTCTTATTGACTAGGGGGCAGTTGGGCAGGCATGCTTCATTCCTGGAATTGACAGTCATTCCTAATGTGAGTAAAGGGGAACCTAAATGAGACATCTTTAAACATATGAAAGCATTTGGTTTTAAAATGGAAGAACTGTCAGGTACTGTTAATGCCTGAGCCTTTGCAAGTTACAAGAGAGCTGATATGCCTGTTTTCTCCATTCTCTGTATCTTCCTTTAGCAGTTCTATTTGAATGTTTTCTGTCTATTCGTACTCGTTTTTACTCCTTCTGACCCTTTTCTATTTCCCCCTTTTCTGCCTTGTTCTCTTTTTCAGTTTTGAAAATACTAACACTGAATCAGTACTTCTAAAGCCCTTCCTTCTCCCACTGGCTTCACTTGGCCTTCAGACATAATGAGGAGACTGGCTTTTCGAGGCGCTGGTTGTGCTCTGGTAAAGCTGGTAAATTACTGATTATCTACACCCTTTCCCTTATCTGTCCTTCCTTGCCTTTTTTCTTCCACCTTTCTTAAATTTTTGTTACCCCTTCCATAAAGGTTCCCTCAAATTCACTTGTGTCTTTGTCATAGCTTGTTTAAAAGGGATTGGTCCTTAATTTCTTTATCTTAATGAACTGAGCCCAGTATATCAGCCTTTTATATAAAAAGAACAAAAATCAGCAAAGCTTGCCTAAGTTTTGGCTAAGCATTTTGATGCTTTTAACCACTTTTAGCTACTTCAAACTAATACCGTATAACAAACCGAAGCCTAGAGTAAGGAACATCATCATGATAGATTTTGTTTCAAACACTATGTGGTCTTTAGTTTGGAGAAAGAGATGAGACTTCTGAAGTCTCTTTTCTTAATTGCTCACCAGGATTTTCAAATGTGTTTGTTTTGCTCCTTCTTTCTGTTTTCTGGAAATCCCCAACTTTTCTCTCTGTACCACTGGCAACTAGTGCTCTCCTGTTCTAATCATTCTAATCTCCTGGTATGATAGTGTCCTGAAATTCAGTGTTTCCTTGTGCCTTACAATTATGAGGTACTCTAGTTGTATGAGGTACCTCATAATTGTGAGGCACATGGAAAAGCAGATGCTGCACTGACTCCAGAAGTAATATACCTTGGAGCCTCTAACCCCCAGATCTGCCAGACTACCTCAGGGACTGAAGGATCAATACCTTCAGTGTGAGTGAGTCAAACTGGGATCTTTTAGCTTTAGAAAAAGGCCTTTGAAATCGCAATATGCTGTTGGATAATATTGTTAAGATTGTGTCACAATATAAGCATTGCAGGACTTTCTTGGATATATACTAGTCCATCTGTAGCAGACAATTTCAGTGGTTGCATTTCTTGTGTTATAGTTAAATGCATGTATTTGTAAAGTTGCCTAAAGATTAGTTTCTTAGCCAGCCCCAAACGAGAGCAGATATTTATTTGTGACCTGAAAGCTCATGTATGAGGTGCTCTTGAGAGGATCTACTAAGATTTAAAGCTGTGATTTCAAAATTTATGGGCAATAGAGTACGTCATATCACTGAAAAGGCGATTAGGTTGGATTAACAGAAGAGTTTCAAAGGACAGTTTTTCTGTACTTCTGTCTACGTGTAACAAGTCACGTTAAGTGTTTTCCAGAGATACGTTTTGTGGATCCTGCTTTAATGAATGGAGGACATTCATTTTCAGGATATTATTTTTCGAGTACATCTAAAATACTAGAAGGTTAATTGTCCTCTGTCCCCTTACCTTTTTGCATAACTCATTTGTCTTAGGCTCTGCTTCCTACTCTTTTCCACGTGGTGGCCCACCTAGCAAATGATCATAATTGTAAGGCACATGGCAAAGCAGATGGGTGCTGGCTCCAGAGGTGGATATATTGAGGCCTGTATACCTCAGGCCTGCCTGACCGTCTAGGGGCTAAAGGATTAATACCTTCAGCACGCCAATGTACTATTACATGTAGGTTGGGAAACTCCAGTCTAGGGCAAATTTGGAACTAGAAGTTGTTGAGTCACTCAGATTGGTGATATACAAATGAATATACTTTCGTTGAATTTGTCCCATCAAAATGGAAGGTATAGCACTCTGGTAAGTGAAACACTGCAACAAGGAAGTCCAGGACTTTAAAAAAAAAAAAAAAAAAAAAAAAACCTTTTAGCTAAACTGTAACATGTTAAATTGTCCTCCTAAGTGAGCCAGGAGTTTGATAGCAGGTGACCAGCTGAGGGCTTGGTGACAGAGTCTATTTAAATGTAAGAACATGGCAAATTATTTCTTTTAGAAGAAGTTGGATTCCATGGGTTCCAAGAGAAGAAGAGCTACCTCCCCTTCCAGCAGTGTCAGCGGGGATTTTGATGATGGGCACCATTCTGTGTCCACACCAGGCCCAAGCAGGAAAAGGAGGAGACTTTCCAATCTTCCAACTGTAGATCCTGTGAGTAACTTGGTTCACTTGGTTTCTGCCTGCTTTTGCCACGATTACCCTATCTTCCCTATAATGGTAAAATGGTTACAGTGCAAGGCGTCTCCACTTTTTTTTAAGATTCTCTGGATTGATAGTCTTTTATGAACAGTATGTATTCAGCTAAGTCTTAGAGTAATAGTATAGTCTTATGAATAATTTCAGTGTGTTACATCATGTATTCATTTAGCAAATAACTATGTGCCTATCATGTGAAAGTACTGTTCTCATGATTGGGATTTAGCCATGTGGGAAACAAGCCCATTTTTCACATGGAACTTAGATTCTAGTGGGGGAAGTAGAGTGTAAACAAGTAAATGAATAAAGAATAATATACCTTTAGCCAGTAATAAGTGCTAAGAAGAAAATTTTGGGTGATTTGGGCTATTTTGGTGTGAATCCCCTGGAAGAGAGTTCCAGACAGAGAGAACCGGTGCTGAGGGGCTGAGTCAGGGATGGGTTTAGTGTGTCATGGTTACAGAGTAGTAGATGGTCGGGAAGGAGAAGGAAATTGGCAGGCTCCACCCATTCAGAGTATGTAGGGCCCACACAAGCAGTGTTAAGAGTTTAGAGTTTTATTCTATATGTACTGAGAAACCCTTCTGTTGGATAGCTTTAAGCAAGAGAGTGATGAACTGATTTAGTTTAAAAGACAAAATCACCAGGAGCATAAATGTGATGGAAGATGCCAAAAAGTTAGTCAACTCGATTGTTTGAAAGGAGACATGCTTGCCAGGCACGGTGGCTCATGCTTGTAATCCCAGCACGTTGGGAGGCAGAGGTGGGTGGATCACGGGGTCAGGAGTTCGAGACCAGCCTGACCAACATAGTGAAACCCCATCTCCTAAAAACACAAAAATTAGCCAAGTGTGGTGGCACGTGCCTGTAATCCCAGCCACTCGGGAGGCTAAGGCAGGAGAATCACTCGAACTCTGGAGGTGGGGGTTGCAGTGAGCTGAGATTGCGCCGCTGCATTCCAGCCTGGGTGACCGAGCGAGACTCCATCTCAAAAAAAAAAAAAAGGAGACGTACTGTCAGCATATTTCAGCCTGTTTGGTAATATTGAGAGTCATCATTTTTCTTATCTACTTGCCTAGAAAATAATTTTTATGCCTACACTGGCTTTCTGTTCACTTTTTTGGTGATTTTTCTCCTTTGCTAATGTGTAGATTGCCGTGTGCCATGAACTTTATAACACCATCCGAGACTATAAGGATGAACAGGGCAGACTTCTCTGTGAGCTCTTCATTAGGGCACCAAAGCGAAGGTGAGTTGGAAGCCCATCAGTAGATTGCGGGGAATTTGGTCCAGAGTCCATGTTTAAAGTGTTTGGAAATTGATTTTTTTTTTTTTTTATTGGGAGGAATGGCTTAAATGATACTGGGGTCCAATTTTAGTCTTTAGTAATCAAGCTGTAGTGAAGCTTTTTTTTTTTTTTTTAACTAAAAATCTGTTTGGGCTAGGCACAGTAACATGCACCTGAAATCCCAGCTACTTGATTTTTTGAGCCAGGCACAGGAGCATGCACAGTAATCTCAGCTACTTGGGAGACTGAGGCAAGAGAATTGCTTGAGCCAAGGAGCTTGAGACCAGCTTGGGCAACCTAATGAGACCCTGTCTCTTAAAAATAAAAACAAGGCCAGGCATGGTGGCTCACACCTGTAATCCTAGCACTTTGGGAGGCTGAGGTGGGTGGATCACAAAGTCAGGAGTTCAAGACCACCCTGGCAAAAATGGTGAAACCTTGTCTCTTCTAAAAAAAAAAAAAAAAACCAAAAATTAGCTGGTTGTGGTAGCATGTGCCTGTAATCCCAGTCACTTGGGAGGCTGAGGCAGAGAACTGCTTAAACCCGGGAAGCAGAGGTTGCAGTGAGCTGAGATTGTGCCACTGCACTCTAGCCTAGGCGACAGAGTGAGCCTCCGTCTGAAAAAAAAAAAAAAAAATGACCTATGCAGAAAGATCTCTTGGGGCCAAGAATTTGAGACCGGCCTGTGCAACATAGTGAGACCGATCTCTACAAAAAAATTTTTTTTTAAATTAGCCAAGTGTGGTGGTGCTTACCTGTAGTCCCAGCTACTAGGGAGGCTGGGGTGGGAGGATTGTTTGAGCCCGGGAATTTGAGGCTGCATTGAGCCATGAGTGTCACTGCACTCCAGCCTGGGTGATTGAGCAAGACCTTGTGTAAAAATAAATATTAAAAAAGAGTACCTACCTGGCATGGTGGCTCATGCTGTAATCCTAGCACTTTGGGAGGCCTAGGTGGGCAGAGCACCTGAGGCCAGGAATTCATGAGCAGCCTGGCCAACATGTGAATAATGCTACAATGAGCATAGGTGTGCAGATACATCTTTCAGATCCTGCTTTCAATTCTTGTGGATATATACTCTAAAGTGAGATTGCTAGATAATATGGTAGTTGCATTTGTAGTTTTTTTTTTTTTTTTTTTTTGAGATAGAGTCTCACTCTGTTGCCCAGGCTGGAGTGCAGTGGCATGATCCTGGCTCACTGCAACCTCTGCCTCCCAGGTTCAAGCAGTTCTCATGTTCCAGCCTCCACAGTAGCTGGGATTACAGACACATGCCACCATGCCTGGCTAAGTTTTGTATTTTTAGTGGAGACAGGGTTTTGCCATGTTGGCCATGCTAGTCTTGAACTCTTGACCTCAGGTGATCTGCCCACCTCAGCTTCCCAAAGTGCTGGGGATTACAGGTGTGAATCACCGCTGTAGGCCTATTTGTAATTTTTTTGAGGAACTGCCATATTGTGTTGAATAGCAACTGTACCATTTTATATTCCCACTAACAGTGCACAAAGGTTCTACTTTCTCCACATTTTTTTTTAATACTAGTCATCTTAATAGGAGTTGGTGGATCATTGGTTTTGATTTGCATTTTCCTAATGATTAGTGATACTGAGCATTTTTTCATGCACTTATGAGCCGTTTGCACATCTTTTTTTTTTTTTTTTTTTGAGACAGAGTCTTACTCTGTTGCCCAGACTGGAGTGCAGTGGTGTGATCTCGGCTCACTGCAACCTCTGCCTCCCAGGTTCAAGTGATTCTCCTGCCTCAGCCTCCCAAGTATCTGGGACTACATGCACATGCTACCACACCTGGCTAATTTTTTGTATTTTCAGTAGAGGTGGGGTTTCACTGTGTTGGTCAGGCTGATCTCGAATGCCTGACCTCATGATCCACCTGCCTCGGTTCTCAAAGTGCTGGGATTACAAGTGTGAGCCACCATGCCCAGCCTAATTTTTTATTTTTAGTAGAGACGGGGTTTCGCCATGTTGGCCAGGCTGGTCTCGAACTGCTGACCTCAGGTGATCTGCCTGCCTTGGCCTCCCAAAGTGCTCAGATTACAGGCGTGAACCACTGTACCTGGCATCATTTGCACATCTTCTTTGGAAAAATGTCCATTCACATCTTTTGCCCATTTTTGAATTGGGGTGTTAGTTTTCCTTTGTTGAGTTTCAGGAGTTCTCTGTACATTCTGGTTATTTCTTATCGATACAGGATTTGTAAATATTTTCTGTCATTCTGTAGGTTGCTTTTTCATTCTGTATGGTGTCCTTAGATCCACAAAAGATTTTAATTTTCATGAAGTTTACTTTGTCTTTTTCTTTTGTTGCCTGTGCCTTTGGTGTCATATCTAAGAAATTAGTGCCAAATCCAGTATCATGAAGCTTTCCCCTATGTTTTTGTATTAGTTAGGGTTACCTTAGAGGAACAGAACTAGGCTGCAAATTTTCCAAACTTTTATGCTCTGCTTCCCTTATAAAACTGAATGCTTTTAACAGTACGCAAGTCACTTCTTGAATGCTTTGCTGCTTAGAAATATCTTCTTCCAGATGCCCTAAATCATCTTTCTCGAGCTCAAAGTTCCACAGATGTCTAGGGCAGGGGCAAAATGCCCCCAGTCTCTTTGCTAAAACATAACAAGAATCACCTCTACTCCAGTTCCCAACAACTTCCTCATCTACATCTGAGACCACCTCAGCCTGGACCTTATTGTCCATATTGCTGTCAGGCTTTTGGTCAAAGCCAGTCAAGTCTCTAGGAGGTTCCAAATGGTCCCACATTTTCCTGTCTTTTTCTGAGCCCTCCAAACTGTTTCATCCTCTGTGATCCAGTTCCAAAGTCGCTTCCACATTTTCAAGTATCTTTTCAGCAGCACCCCACTCTACTGGTACCAATTTACTGTATTAGTTTGTTTTCATGCTGCTAATAAAGACATACCTGAAATGGGGAAGATAAAGAGGTTTAATTGAGGTTCCATATGCCTGGGGAAGCCTCAGAATCATGGTGGGAGGCAAAAGGCACTTCTTACAACAGTGGCAAGAAAAAAATGAGCAAGAAGCAAAAGTGGAAACCTCTGGTAAACCCATCAGATCTTGTGAGACTTAATCACTATCACATGAATAGCAAGGGAAAGACCAGCTCCCATGATTCAGTTACCTCCTCCTGGGTCTCTCCCACAACATGTGGGAATTCTGGGAGATAGAATTCAAATCGAGATTTGGATGGGGACACAACCAGACAATATCAGTTTTCCTCTAAGAGTTTTATAGCTTTAGCTCTTATATTTAGGCCTTTGATCCATTTTGAATTAATTTTTATATGTAGTGTTTAGGTAAGGATACAGCCTTATTCTTTATATATGTATATCCAGTTTTCCCAGCATCGTTTGTTGAAAACACTGGGCTTTGCTCATTGAATGGTTTTGGCACCTTTGTCAAAATTCATTTGAACATGTATGTGAGGGTTATTTCTAGGCTCCATTGTATTCCATTGGTCTCTCTGTTTATACTAGTAGCACACTATTTTGATTACTGCAAACAACATATTCAGTGACAGAAGATTTAAAGCTTTTCCTCTAAGATCACAAACAAAACAGTGATGCCCACTTTCACCACTTCTATTCAACACCATGTTCACTGTGGAATAAATCCCACTTGGTTATGGTATATAATTCTTTTAATATGCTGCTGAATTCAGTTTGCCAATATTTTATTGAGAAATTTTGCATCAGTGTTCAGAAGGTGTTGCTATTCACTTGACAAAATATTATGGAAAATATTTAGGGAAATTTGCGGATTATAGCCTCAAACCTTTTGGAAGGCCTAAAGGTTTTACTGGGGCAGGCCAAGGGCCAGTCCACTAAGTTAGGGAGAGAGAAAAATAATCAAAGGCCTTCCCAGTTAAGTCTGTTTACCCCACACCCATTTGTCTCCACTCTGTTTACTCATGTTAATTTTGTGCTTTGTTGGGGTGGGAGGGGAGGATCAAAGGGAAATTACCTGTTAATAGCATTTACTCTGGGCCTGAGAATCTAAAGCTTTTACCAGTCGTATAACCACTCTTTTAACTATGTTAATTATCCACAAGTGTGTTAACTTAGAACCTCTTTTGTAATGTCTAGGGAATAAATATGTAGCTAAACAGGAAACTAGGTCAATTGGTTGCATTTCGCCCTCTAAAAGCAGCCAATGGCCATCCCTAGTCCACTTAAAACACTGTAACGGTGTAAGAGTGCATTCATTCATTGGTTAAGTCAGAGTCTGCAGGTCAAACTTCCGCAAAGGTAACCCACATCTCAATAAGGGATACTGATCTGTGGTTTTGTTGTTGTGTGTTTGTCTGCCTTTGGTATTGGGGTAATGCTAGCTTCATAGAATAAGTTAGGACGTGATCTCTATTCTTCAATTTTTTGGAAACGTTTCCTAAGGATTGGTAGTGCTTCTTGAAATGTCTAGTATAATTCATCAGTGAAGCTATCAGTCTAGGGCTTTTCTTTGTGAGAGATTTTTTTTTTTTTTTTTTTTTTTACCGATTCAGTTTCCTTACTAGTTATAGGTTTACTCAGGCTTTGTTTTTTTGTTTTTTTGTTTTTTTTTTCTCCTGAGACAGTCTTGCTCTGTTGCGCAGGCTGGAGTGCAGTGGCATGATCTCAGCTCACTGCAACCTCCATCTCCTGGGTTCAAGCAATTCTCCTGCCTCAGCCTCCCAAGTAGCTGGGATTATAGGCGCCCACCACCATGCCCAGCTAATTTTTCTACTTTTAATAGAGATGGAGTTTCACCATCTTGACCAGGCTGGTCTTGAATTCCTGACTTCGTGATCCACCTTCCTCGCCCTCCCAAAGTACTGTGATTATATGTTAGGGTTAAGGTTAGGGTTAGGGTTAGGTGTGAGCTACTGCACCCAGCCCAGGCTTTGTATTTCTTCAGTATGTTGTGTGTTTCTGGGAAATTAACCATTTCTTCTA